ATTTTGAGACTCTAATAANTTTTTACCGTCGTATAAAGTAATGATGATAGTAATTACGATAAGACTCGGCTGACGTCGATCGTGCCTCACACCTCGATCGGCGCGACGGTACCCGATCAAAACACAGCCCGAGGCGCATTAACACCCGCACAAGCTCGGCTCTTCACGCCACGCCAAACCAATGTCAGACGCCATCATCTGCCCTTGCAAGCGGGCACATCAAACAACAGTAAGCTCCCCTATAAATACCCTCGCACTCTGAACGAGCAAGGGGACCGGACGGACGACGGAGGAGAGAACACACCAGGGAGACACCTCAAACTCTTCTTCTTTCTACCCCCTCCATCATCCACTAACTCAATCGTCGGAGGGGTCGGGTCGCGTCTCCCGACCCGACCTGTGTGCAAGACCGCAGATGGAGCGCGCGCCCAACCGAGGAGCCCCCTCCGACGGAGTCGGCTGACCCCCGTCCCCATCGGACCGCCGCAGCCGACCACCTCGACGAATCCGAGGGCCGCACCAGGAAGATCCCGTCTTTCGGACCCGAACCGAGCCGCGTCGACCTTGAGGCCACGGCATAAAGTTGTTTACCAACATAAAAGTTCCTTAAAAGAATTCAGATGATTTCTCTTCTCAAATTGTTCTTCATTGACTCTGAACAATCGCACATTCTGATTTTCTAATTGATAATTGTAAATTGGTTAAAATAATATTCATATTACAATATGAGATATTTTATTTTTAAAAAAGAGAAAATAGTCTAAAAATCGGATTTAAGTTTCAATCGATGTAGAATTGATTCTTTATTTGTCCCCAAAGTACAGTAAAGATGATTGATTCTCTGAGGGGGGAGAGAGAATTATGTCTCCGTGGTTGCAGGATTATGTCTCCGTTAAGCAATCACAGAGGTGGATTTCCTCTGCTTTTGGATGATCCATCGTCGTCTTGCCACAACAGATGCATTTCCGCGTCGTCGTCTCGTCCGACATCGTTCCCGCTTCCATGGGGCGCCAATCTTTGTGAAGAGCCGTCTTCCTCCTCCTGAGGACGCCGCAACTCCGCGTGCCGCTTCATGAGCCTGCTCAGTGCGCTGAGCTCCACCGCCAACTCCTTCATGGTCGGCCTCTCAGACGATTCCAGGGCCACGCAAGTCTTCGCGACCTGAGCTATCGCCAGCAACTGCATCGCCCCGGCCTCCTCCACCAGCCTCGCATCCACCAGATTAAGAAGGTTGTTCTCCTTCAGGTACGTGTAGAAATGTGCCACCAGGTTCCTCGCCGTCTCCGATCTGCAAAACGATATCGGCTTCTCCGAAGTCAGCAGCTCCAGCAGAACCACCCCGAAGCTATACACGTCGCTCTTCTCCGTCAGCTGGCTGGTGTGGAAGTACTCGGGATCCAAGTACCCGAGCGTTCCCTGGACGAGCGTCGTCACATGAGTTTGGTTGAGCGGAACCAATCGGGAAGCCCCGAAATCCGATACCTTCGCCGTGTAATTCTCATCCAAAAGTATGTTGGCGGACTTGACGTCCCGGTGGATGACCGGAGCGGAAGGCTTGCAGTGCAAGAAGGCGAGCGCTCCTGCAGTTTCCGCGGCAATCCTCAGACGGGTCTCCCACGACAGGGGAGGAGCGCCGCCGCTCTCGTGGAGATGTTGGAACAGACTTCCGTTCGACACGAACTCGTAAACCAGCAGCGGGATCTGAGTTTCCAGGCAGCAACCGAGCAGACGAACCACGTTCCTGTGGCGGATTCTGAAGAGGATCGCCACCTCGTTTATGAAGTGTTCGATCTGGCTCTCGTCCATGAACTTTGACCTCTTGATGGCCACCACCTGCTGATCCGGTAGGACGCCTCTGTACACCGTCCCGTGTCCTCCACGGCCGACCACATTAACCTCGTCGAAGTTGTCGGTCGCCCTTTCCAGTTCCTCGATCGTGAAGATTCTGGCGCTGAACTCCCTCGAAGAGACATGCTGCTGCAGTAACAAGCCTCCGTTCTGCAGGAAGTGCTGTTGCTTGACCTTGGTGAGCCTTCTCCTCTGCAGTCCGAAGTATACCCAGGTGCCTCCTCCTACGATCATGACCAAAAGGGACAGCCCAACTCCTGCACGACAAGGATTTAATGGCGACTCCATTAAACTGCGGAAGGAGGAGTTCAAGGAGATTTGAGTATGACCTACTACCTAAACCAATCTCAAGGAACGTGTCCCTTTGGCAACCGGATCCTCCATGTTTGCCATCTCCACTGCTTCCCGGAGGACAAGGGCAGTGGAAGCTCCCTCGCATGTTGATGCATTTCCACACGCAAGGGTTCGAGTGTGGGTAGCTACACTCGTCGATATCTGCGAAGCCATCGATCCATACGGTCACCGTTTAGGTTAACACTGGAGGATACTCTGTTACCGGCGATGGCTACTGTTTTCCCCTTGGGAGATGATGTACCTGTGCATCCTTGTGTAGTTGATAGGTATGGGTTCCCGGCGTAGCCTTGAGAGCAGTTGCAGCGGTAGCCTCCGTTTGGGGAGTCGTAGCAGTCGCTGTTGTGCCCGCAAGCGAGTTCCGACTTGTTCCTGTGCTTGACCTCGTCGCACGTCTCGTTCCCTATCGCCCAGTCCAGGACAACCGGCCGCGTCGTGGAACCGGTGATCGTGTTGACGTCTCTCGCAGAGAAGGTGAAGTCGTTCTGGTCGACCAAGAACACCTCGCTGCAGGTACTGTTGTCGACGTGACAGTGGGTGAGGTTCCTGATGCTGCTGTGGCTGGCGTTGAAGCTCTTGAGACCGCGGGGGACGGCGGCCTGACAGCAGCCGATGCCGGAGCAATAGCCGTTCACCATGCTCTGCTGGGTGAACGGGGAGGCGCAGAACGCCACGCATCCCCTGATGTCGTTGTGAGCGTGGGAACCGCCGGGGCCCTGGAAGACGACCATGGCGTCGCAGCCGATCACCGTGTACTTGTTCCTGGTGTCGGAGAAGCTGAAGGGAGTGCCTTCCAGGCTGATCCCGGTGGTTGGGGCTGCAAGTCCCCTGCTACAGTACCCAAAGGCGAGCGGACTGAGCAAGCCGCGCACGTAGCCTTCTTGCACCGATATGTTCAGGAGTTGTAGCTTCTTGGTGCCGATCGACAGAGTGGGAAGGCCGCCGCGGACGTTGCAGTCGATCTCGAAACCGGGGATGAAGGAAGACAGGTTTCGGACGCCGAAAGGGTAGGGAATGTTTGTACAGTTGCTCGCATCCGCCTCGAACACGTTTGGATTAAGATCCGACGACGACGACGATGGCTGCGGCGGCAGGAATAGGAGTAGGAGGAGCAACAGCAACGGCACACGCAAATTCATGGCCAAGCTTCCTGCAACCTCCCTTCTTCCGGTCGTCTTTTTGATCGCAGCGGCGGACCTCGTGACCCAGTTGTGACGGATAAGTAGGGAGAGGCTGGACTTGCATCCCGAGTCAACAAGTGTGTTGACCTGTTACCTCTGCTTCCCCCCTTTTCCTTCCCCACCAATAAATAAATAAATATATATATATATGCAGTGGCAAACTGGCAATGACTTTCATGAGAATTTACCTAATATACAAATATAAAAAATAAGGGAAAAAGGATATATATTATTTACACATCAACGATCAATATTAAAAACATATATGTTGATCAATACAAACTATCGCTCAACATTGCCACTCTTCGCCTGAATCAAATGTTCCATTATGGCTAATGTGGCAATTAAGCATCAATGTATGTGGTTTGAACTCCGCCAAACATCAATGCATGTGATTCGAGCTCTGATCACCAGATCGTAAAAGAAAAACCTTACCATAACATCTGCCCTCTGTCAAATGTTATCAAGGAGATGTGAAAGGGTTTCCGAAAGAACTTCCACCCAAACCTGATCTCGATCAGATATTTGAGCCAATTAAGCCAACACATCATTCCTTACAAATGGGAGCAAGAGAATAAAACTGACAAAGATAAGATTACTCATTCTAACTGGTGACCAAGATAAGATTACTCATTCTAACTGCAGACCACTGAGTCCCTGATTTGAGTTGACATGAAAATTGCTAACCGCAAAGCATTCTGATGGCAAAGTTTCAGAGGATTCTTCAATAGTGTGATACTGGCCTTCTTCTCGCCCGACAGAGCCACATGTGCTATGGTGAACGAATTACCCATTTCTGATGCAAATTGCCATTCCCGTACTGACACTTCGAACCAGTTTTTACTTGCGTATCTGGTGGTCTTAACTTCGACATACTCCCGGCTTTCCTGTCCGATGATCAGGTCATATGGTAAGCCACTCTCAGTTTGTTCATTCACCCATTTCACCATATTTGGACCCATTTTCCTATTTAGATAATTGTAGGCAATGATCTCCCCGAGCCTGCCAGTTCTACGTGTTTGCTGGTCATCTAGTGTTTGCAGACAAATATTAGCCCTTTCAAGTGAACTCGACAAAATTTTCAAGCTTAAATCTGGGCCAGGACGCACCGATGGATCAATTTTTTCATTTTTGGTTTCTGAGACAGAATTAACCTGGCTGTCGAGAGCATCAAAAGAATCCACCAACTGAGTTTCTTCTTTCAGTATCCCAGAATCATCTTGCAACACAGATGAGCTCTTTGAAGCCAAGCCCTTTTCTACAACCCAATCTTCATCAATCTCAATGGGATCAGGAAGAACCTCAACTTGTGTGGTAAGTCCAGGCGGGTTTCTCAGCTGCACCTCAGAGCCACTATATGACTCCATCCCTGGTCTTGACCAGAGAGGATATCTTCTTGCATGACTAAAATCCGGGGCAGTTTTCCAATCTGTAGGTGGCCAACTTGGACAGATGCCTGGTTTCCTTTGAGGTATAGAAGCATTCTGCTCAGCATTAGAGCAGGGAGCAAGTATTGGCTGGGTGATAGAATCAAGTTCTTCCACCGCGGAAGATAGAGACCAAACAGGTTCTTCATCAGGTAGCCTTGGAACCTTTTGACTATTCACAATGAAAAATTCTGTCTGGTCAATGCTTGAGCCAGATTCTGCCATGGTTGTGACCATGTGAAGAAAATTTGCAAAGTGTAGCTCGGCAGACCCATCAAAGAAAAATCGTGAGAGCTCCAAGAATATGGAGTGTGAATCTGCAGTATGAGTAGCATATAGAACACTCCCCTGAAGAAACAAGCAAACTTTAATGTCTCAGCATGATAATAGAAAAGGTATCAAGGACACACAAGAACAACTTCAAAGCATATGTCATCAGATTAAGTTAATAAAAGGTCGTAAACAAAGCTTAAAGCTATATGTTACTGACAACACTTGCAACTTGGGATCTTGGAATATATAATTACCAACATGTAGATCTTTTCATCATTAAGAGAGACAGGGAGCTACTTAACCCTGGTTAAGGCAGTTTTTGCATTAATTCATTGAATCCACAGTGCAGACCCAAAATTTCACTCACCTGAGCCCTTTCACATGCTATGTGCAGTTGTACACAATCAAAGCATTAATGGCCTGTTTGTACAGACACCCTTAAAAAATGATTTCAGATTGAGAAATTTCCACCAAATAACATAACACCAAACCATTAATTCAGTAAATTTTATCTAAATCAGCATGTAAGAGTGTAAAAGAAACAAATTAGCTATTTGATAGCTCCTATATCCTATATCATAAACATCCAGTTAAAAAAACCTTCTACATGATGTCAGCAAGGTGAACGCAACTTATGTTAACTTTTTGTTTAATTTAAATACGAAATTTCAACAAAAACACAGAACAAATAAAACAAATGTTTTTTTAATCTTTGGAGCATTCCCACATATTGCATTTAGGAGAAATTTCTATGACATTGATATCATTTCATCTGATATTTTATTATTCTGACAGTTTTGTGCAAGTGTGCTAGCTACCTGATGCAATTGTCCTGGAGGCTTGGAACTAATTTAAAGGATAACATGTAAAAAGACTTTGAGAAAGATCATAAGTGAGTTAACCATAGCAGAGATACCAACCAGCAGAGTAGAAGAAAAAGCGAAAACAAATGATTACAGACATTTTACTTGGATGTGGAATGTTCTGGGCCATAATATGGGCGCAGGCATGAGGTATGCAATGTAGCTTGGCTAATGGAACATCACTGATGTAGTTACCTAGTACAGGTGCCAGCATGGGGCATGCCAGTTACCTCAGCTCATGATGCATCACTCAGGGCATCTTCCATCAGCAATAAGAACATTTTCAAAAATAATCCATGAAATTAATCCATGATAAATAAAAACAAAAGCAAAAGCAAGTGGAAAATTCATATTACACTGAGGATAAGGTCCTAAAGAATTTTCAATCAAAATATTGTATAAACTAAGGTTTGTCAAGAACTTGGAAGGACATTTGCTCTTAAGTTCACAAGCATATCTTTCACAACTTTCATTCTTAGCACAACTAATTCAGAAGATTTCTACATGTATAAAATTACATACAACCATTAAAGTCAAGCATGAAGAGGATCTATAATAATAAGAACACCTAAGAAATGAAAACTCCAGCACACAAAAGCTTGGTCTACAAAAAATATAAGCATAAGATTTAAACAAAAAAAAGAAAAGATATAGGTCCCGGACCTGCAAAAGGCAGCAGCATTCAAAGCGCTTCTTAGAAGTATTACCACCACCTCTCAGAGAGTGCTTGTAGAACAACTTCTCAACTACAACAACTTGTAGCTGGATTAGCTTCTCAAGCCCAAACTGTTTCAAGTTCGAATATTTGTCTGGATACAGTTTATAAATGTAGCGTTGAGCATAAGGTAAGACCCAATTTATCAAAGACATCTTTTCGTTGTTGTCTCTTGTCCCATAAAATATTGCTTCACGAAACACAACCTGAAGCATGCAGCAGCACACTTTAGTTGATGAAAATGAATGAATAAATAAAATAACAACCTCCAGAATTTCCCAAAAAAATGGCCTCATACCTCTGAAAGGGCAGGAAGACCTAATTTTTTGAATAATTCAGCAATCTTTCCAGAGAGCATTTCTTTCTCTTCATTATTAAGTTCACCAAACTGCAAGAAGTCAATGCCATTAGAATGTTTAAACTGCAGCTTCAGGTCCTCATCGTCAGCCCAACATACGAGACCAAATGAAGAATGGAGAGACACCCATTTATCCTGCATGGTTGGAAGTACTCTGCTTTCCAAATTATGAAGATCATTTCTTAAGTCAAGAATGTCCTTGGACTTCACCAATCCAGATTTAACATCATCAGACCATCTCAAGAAAACCCGAAAAACCTGAAAAAGGGATAAACTGTCACTAAACATGTTCCTGAGAACAACAGACATACAGAGAGATATATAAACGAAAAAAATAGAGATTCAACATATATGTGCGTATATAGACAGAGACCATCAGAGACAATAGTGCACTTACTGCATGAGCTGCCTGTGAGGGCAAAGTGACACTTGATAACTGGAGTAATATTTGAAGATAACTACCAAATGGAGGAACCTCATGCACATGGCACACTTGCACAAAAAATTCACGAAGGCCAGGGTAGACAGAGGACAGCATTTCACATGGAAGGAAATCTGACTTCCTCTTTTGAATGCACTGGAGCACTTCCTTAACCTTCTCAACACATCCAGTTGGATCATGCCAAAACACATCCTTTGGTGAAAGAAAAGTTCCATAAGTAGCGTTCTTAGATGTAGAAGTATTGAGGAATGGGACAAATATAAAACAACTTGAAATGAATTCTTTATTTATATTCAATCTTGAAGTAGCAACCCCATCCCAGATAAAGGTATAGAACTTCGACATTTGATTCACACTGAAACAATGTCAACAAGCAGCATGTTATACACTACTAAACTGAAGAATAAAAATCATGAACAAATGGAGAAAAATCAAGAAAAAATGGTGCAATAACATATTAAACAATCCTTCTTTTAGGTAACTATAACCACGTTTAATAGAACATCTTTATGATTCAGCTCGCTCACTAGAATGCCCAAAAAGGAACAATCTCCTAGGCCCTAGCCATAAAAATCTAAAGATGATACATCATTAATTAACTCAGTAACAAAATTTTCTTCATGAATTTAGTTTCTCTATAAAATAGAACATGAAAAACTAAAAGATCAAGGCTTAAGCACTAATCAAATTACCAGAGAGAAAAAATATATCCTTTCCGACCTACATGTTGAACTTCCACATGATCTACCAATGATATTTCAATACCTGTGGAGCACGACACTCCATAAATGTTTCTTATATCAGCATCCACTTGTATTTTATCAAGCATCGACACTATAGATAAATCCTAATGTGTTGGATACCTCAGAAAATATAAGGATTAAGGACACAAGTTTTATGCACAATTATGTTAGCTTATGACATAATATATTATACTACAGGAAATATGTATGAATTTTGGACTTCTGACTTACCATGAAGTGCAAAATTTCCAAAATATTATTGCAAGGAAATATACATAAAATATATAGTTAT